CCCTTTTCTTTCGAAGGTGGGGGAAAGGAGAGGACGGATTAAGTATCCGGTAGAACTTATAGCTGTATGTATGTGAGGCGAAGAAAATGGTAGGGTACCATTTTAGGGACTTGGTCATCTGAGACTACTGTGTGCAGTAAGATTGGTTCCCTCCACCGCAGGAGAGGGCACCCTCAGTTGCTGTTTGGAGGGAAGAGAGAGACAGTCTTTATTGGGAGAGAGGCAGAGGCACGATAGAAAGGCCGCAGAAACGTGTCTGCGGGAAATGTGCTCTCTGCCAGTTTGGTATCTCTCTCTTCCCTCGGGCGGTAGAAAATATTAATAAATGCAATTCGAAAGAAAACAATAAACAGACACTTTTGAGGGCTGCGTCCTCAAAGTATCTCTCTTTGGGAGTCCTGTACTACGCTTACGTACACCCTTGGCCCCTGGTTTCTAGAATGGTGCATATGCCCAATATCAGCTGGAGCAGATGGCGTGCGCAGCATACAATATTGTCCGCCTGTGCCCTGTCCCGTAATATTACTGGCCGGCTCAGATATCCGACTGATCACCTCGTCCTTCCCCTGGTCGCCCTGTCACCGCACGCCGATCATCGTTGGGTGACTCGCAGGTTGACAGCGACGGCAAAAAGCTAAGGTGCATGTTCGTCGCCAAAGTCACGGCGGGCAAAGCACACCTGACCCAGCAAGTTAACCTCGGGAAAGACAAGTGCCCCCCCGCCGGATATGACTCAGTTGTAGGAGAGGTGAGGGTCGCACACAAGCTGTCTTTCGGCGGTCCCGCTAGGAAAACGTGATATCCCAAAGGAGAGAGCAACCTAGGGCCTATTCTCAATAGTATCAAGTGCACGCACCAGCAAGAGCAAAGGAAACCATCGTTGTCTGCGCGAATTAAGGCGAACTAGATTCATTGGTCAGCTTCTCCGTGTGAGTGATACCCGTCTCGACGACTCGCTTTGCAAGCTGAGAGTCCTGTGAGACAGGAAGGCAAAATTGTCACTTCTGGTCCGGAAAAGCTACTTACGACACCGGTGCCGTAAGAGAGCGTTTACCACACAGGAAGAAATGCCTCGAAACCACATGAACTGTGTTGCCAGGGCTTTCAGCTGTCACGCAAGCCATCTTTTGGCCGAAAGAAACCGGTGGTTGCTGGGATATGGCCCAACACGATGTCACGGTACCACCTAGGCGATACCCTAAATACGCGTATTTACGACACCGCGCGAAACTCTTCGAAAACACCTCAAATGGGCACGATACAATCCAACTACATTATGTTCCGACGGTCCCCAGCTGTTCGAGTAAACGTTACTGTCACGATCCTCCTGGTCGACGCTGCTACTCCTGTTCTTCTTGGCGCAGTCTTCATTAAAGCCATCCTGCGCCTTGTCGCTGCTATTCCCGCTTCGCTCTTTCTCCACACTCTTCTGTCTGCCCGCCCTCTCACTCTCGCGGGGCCTCTTAAGGCCATCATTGGCAATACCTTAGCTATAAACCACCCCCCCCCGATTGTTCCCCCTGCCCACCCTTTCCTCCTGTTGGTGGTTTTTGACTGCGGTCATCGATCTGGCATACGCTACGTCTGCGTCGACGAGACCAGCAGGCACCGATTGCATGCCACGGCTTGAATCCACTACCACATCGTGGGTCCGAGGTCGTCATCCACGTTTGACCTTGTTAATGAATGATTAGCCAGGGTTTTTAGTGTCCCAAGTCCCGGTGTGATATCGAGTCCGGACTCCGACACGCATGTGTCCTTGGTTGGATCGCATCAAAAGTGTAAAGCCGCGGGGCGTCGATACCAAATGTCCGCTTCACTGTCAGCTGCCACGAGGCTTCCTCGTCTTGGGGAAACAGATATATATGCATCTGAAAAAAAATCTCTGCGGTTTCAGTGACACGGTGTTGTTGATGTTGTTGTTGTTGTTGATGATGATCTCTTCACATTGAAAACCGTTCCGGTCTCCGCTCCGTACTTTCTATTGTCCGGACTGGTCCAACTGACGCGGACGCTTTCCGTGGTCACAAGCCAACTACCCCCCCCAAAAAGGGGGTACACCTTTCTAGCTATAATAAAATTATGAATGGAGCCCAGAGCAGTCCTTCAAGACGCGATTTTTTTCAAACATGGCGATTTTGAGGAAGTTGATGTGAAAATTGAGCCGGAATAACGTGACATCCCAACGGAAACTGACTAGATCGTTGATCAAATAGAGCTCCACGGAAACGGGCATCACGACGTTCACTCCTTCATTCTGCCCATGCCATATCCCCAGGGCATTTGGGGTCCGACGCCCCGGTATGAAATCGAACCCCAACTCCCTCCCACAATCAGTTTCACCGTCGTAACCTACGCGACAAATTTCACTCCTTTTTTCTCGTCCATGAAATTCGCATCCAGGGATCTCTTTGTCCGAGGCCCCGCTGTGAACCGAGTCCCCACTCCCACACACCTGCCTCCCTGGTGGGATCGCATTAGAGTCACGAAAATGCGGGGTGTCGCGGCCTTCGCTGCCTCGGCTTCGAAGCGGCTTCCTTGTCGAGGGACCCGATATGCATTCTGAGATCAAACACTGTGCCTTAACAATGAAAAATTGAAGCACTACGAAAACAAGGAGATATCCAATGCAAACTGGTAGCGATCGATGAAAAATCAGGACTCCACGGAAAAGGGCGTGACAATTTTACCCATAGCAAGTTCGACCGTATTCCGAATAATGCCCTGCACTATCTGTAGACAGGGGAGGAAAGCGCTCTGCAACCTTTCCTTTCCGTTTTTTTTCTCCTTGGTTCGAAAGTGGACCAACAACGTTGGACCCGCACGCGATATCACGCAATCTTAGAACTACAACTTTCAAGACGGTGCGGTGATCGATCTGTTCACCGTGTAAAAGGGAAGGTGTGTCGTCGAGGTCGCCTCTTCGACCAATCGTCTGCGGGTGGAAATTGAGCATCGCATTATTGCACCAGAATCCTGTGGAGTTACCTTGCGTTGGCGTATCGACTCCTCCTTCGCCGCCGCTGCAGCGACCGCAGATGCCAACGGGGTCTGTGAGCAGTTTTCGTCTCATCGGAGGTGTTTTCGAAGAGTTTCGCGCGGTACCGTAGATAAGCTTATGTATGCGACACTGCTGAGAGGGGGTGCCGTAAAATGGTATTGGGCCATATCTCGGGAATCACAACCGAATGCCTGTGCAACTGCTGGGGGTCGTGGGAACACAGCGCAGTTGGGTTCGGGCCCATTGGAGGCAATTTCGAAGAGTTTCTGGTGTTTTCGTAAATATTAGAATTTTCGACACAGTCGAGGTTTTGCCGGGACATCGTGTTGGGCACATCTCAGCTCTACGCGTTGGTCTGGACCAACCTAGGGGGACAGCTGGGGCACGTGGAAACACAGCGCAGTAGAGTTTGTACCCGTTGGAAGTGTTTTCGAGGTTCGCTCGGTGTCGTAAATACGTATTTACGACATCGCCGAGGTGGTGCCGTGACATCGTTTTGGACCATATCTCAGCAACAGAGGGCTTGCACGATAGATAGTAAAGCCACAGGAAATGTGGTTCGAACCCTTTACGACACCGTTGTCGTAAATGGCATCACCGTTTCTGGTTTGGGGAGCACATGCTCGAACTTCGCTTTTAATGTGGGTCGACCAACAGATTTCGTTTTCACTACAGTAGAGATACATGTTGTACGCGGACACCAAACCGGTGGAACCCCCCAACATCGTCTCGAATACTCGTGAATCAACCGTGTTTCTGTCACACCATCTGACATGGCCACACCTATCTCTCTGGTTTTCCTCTCGCCCACCCGTTTGTTGACCATCAGGTGGGAGGCGGACTAAATCATGACGAACTGGTAGTATACAAGAACGAGGCGGCCATTCCCTCCTATCTGATCGTATACGCTTTACCCTGAACGAGGATTGTTTGTGGTGGCGTTTTCGGACATGGTCGGCGGCCGGCCGTGGTTGGCTCGCGGGTCATCTTTGCCAACATCATGCCTTTTGAACTTTGGACGTAACGTAGGTGCAATCGTAGCTCGGCGAATCCCATTGAGTTAGCTCGATGAAGGGGGCATGAATTTTCTGTGTGGAAATCTGTCGGCGAGGTAACTCCTTCTGTAGGCACTCTCGAGAGATTTATCGTCGTAGATGCGTGTCGTTGTTTGGTACTGGTGCTGATCTCCCGTCGTTGAGTGAGGTGTGCATTTCCTACATCTGTATCACATTGGAACCGGTTCGGGAGCATATATATCTCACCGATAATTCCTTATTGATGTCTCATGTTCTTTCCCGAGCCTGCTGTAGATCAATCGGTTTTCGTTGGGACATCGACGCGTGGAGGCTGGGGCTATCGGGGCATGTGTCATGCTCCGAGCCCCTCTCGAAAGGCCAAGCAGAAAACCAATGACAGCGAGAGAGAGGCAAGCATTGAGCAGCTCTGTTTCGATTAAGTTGCCGATCGCTCACGGCATCAAAGCCGTGTACGTCGATCGTCGCGAAACATAAGCATTTTCCAGTTTTCATCGCAATGCCAGGTAGCTAAAGGCGAGCCGCACCCCCGTAACGGCAGAGAGTGCACTACCATCCCTTCGACAAAAGCTTTCTGCAGGCTGCCTACACCATTTGTTGAGAAGCACAATAACCACAATAAATCTCTGGACTACCAGTCAGCACTGACTGGTACTGCAATCCAGCGGTTGTCGTGCTCCTCAACACCATTCACTTGTTCTCATCCCTTCCCCGCCGCCTTCCTAGACTCGCACGCCGATCGAGGGTGCACCATACCGCCCGACATGATGCGACGCGAAAAACAATGGCTCCTTGCGACTCTCTGTAACCTTTCCGCGATTGTAGGCCACTGCCCTGAGCGCCAACACCCTTGCAAGGTGCGGCAGCGAACACGGCTCGAGCGCTAGTCGAGGTCACAACAGTGTTGGTGTTCGTCGTAAGGACAACGCGTACACAACTCCTGACGTACAGCTTCGGCCTTGCGCTTAGTGGCGCGGAGCATACACGATGAGGTGTGTGGGCAGAGCGGCCTCTTCCTTGTAAACCACGACCTCGTCGTAGTTGAGCGCGTGGCCCACCTGGCCGAACAACGACCGAGGCAAGACGGGGGACAGACGGGCTTCCGAATTGACTGTCGTGTCCCCTATCTGGGAGTTTCCGCGGGTAAACGAGAAGCAAGACATGGATCTCCAATCTCAATATCATTGACGTTGACAAAAGCGATGTTTGATGCAGCCCACCTGACGCTAGAATGTCTCCCGCAACAGGCAGGATCGGCGGGAAACAAAGCAAGAGCGAAAGTATCATTGCTCGACCTTGTCAGGGTCTTCGGTGCCCTTGTCAGGCGCGCACCGAGTTCATGCATTTCCGCTCGTGGCCAGGCCGAGCTTGTCTTTGTTATTTCCGACCTGCACCTTCTCGTGTCGATGCTGCCATTGTGCCCTAAGTCAGTTGTATGCCACCTAGCAGATGGACGCATTTCTTTTACGAAACAACCAAGCAATGGAAGCGTTCGCTACGACTTTGTAGGAGTGCCCCCCCGGCTTCCGCGGACCCAAGACTAGTGCGGGGAAGGAAGCACTGCAGAATTGACAACCACGCGGCACCTTTTTTTTCAATTTATGACTTGGGGCGGGGAAAGTCTTGCTCCGCAGGAGGGGCACGGTATTTCTCAGTTTCGTCTGAAGCGCTGTATCTCAGCCAAAACGTCTGACGTGCCAATTGACAACACGCCACCATCTGTGTGTTGAGAGTCTCTACAGGGAGAGTTGAACTCGATCATCCCTCGGTTATTACTCACCTCGCCCACAACAGATTGACAACCCGAAGGTGGGCACTCGCTTTGGGGGAGGTGGGATTTCTTGGTGCTGAAAGCTTTCCCACCGGCGACATTGGCGACGAACATGCACCTCAACTCCGCCCCGTCGCTGCCAGTCTGATGAGGAAGACAAACCGAAAGGAGAGTCGCGTGTGTGTGAGACAAGGGGAAAAAAGCCCCGAGCACAGTCTCGGCGACAGGGGCACATCATTTCGTCAAGATTCTACTTATACCTCCCTGAAACAGTTCTTGGCTTCAAGAGCGAAAGCTGTAGCAGTCTAATTGCTACTCAATTTTCTAGGCTACAGCGTGCTCTCTTCTCAACGGAATGACAGGGGAGTTCTATTTTTTCCCCTCGTGACCCCGAGCTTTCGAATAGCACATGCAACTACGTTCCAACTATTTTGTCTGTTCGACGGATATACTTTCCCTTTTCGCCAAACCCCCAGAGAAATTCGGCCACTGACTTCAAATATGCATGATACATAGCAAGGTTCCGTCGTTGAAGTAACGTGTTGGTGTTGCGAGGCAACGCAAATACTTCGCATGAGGACGACCGCCTTCACCACCAAGCGCACCTTGGCCGAGAGCCTGGCATAGTCGTTCGCCTTGCCGGAAACGCTACTGAAGTAGATGCCCGTGCCGTACCGAAGCGGGATACCGGATGCCCGGGCCGTACGGGCGACGTTCTTTCCGAGCTTGAAGCCTAGCATGCAGATGTTGCAGACGCTACAGCTGCTCAGCCCGCACGGGGCTGTTGCTCCCTACACGATATTAGGACCGGTTCAACATCTTGCAGTGACGCAAGGCAAGGTCAGTAATCGACGGGTGATCTATGCGAAACGAAAAGCAGAACACAAGAAACCTCCCGCGATGTGGGTGCCGGAGGGCTGTTCGAACCGAATGGGAAGAGTACCTGCCATGCATTTCACGCGGGCATTCACGAAAGCCTGCCACTCTGCTCGCAGAACATACATAGCTATACAGCAGTGGCTCCTCTTCACCTGTGGGTCGACCATGAAGTTGCACCCATCATTGCAGGAGGTACCATGGAAGCGTTGGCGTAGATTGACCACGACCATACGTTTGTAGAGTTCGTGCTTGTCATGGACCTCGAGAGGCACCTTGTGGCGGATAGGGCAAAGGCGGTCAAACCGGTCCACCAATGTCACCACGAGTGAGTACGCAAAACGTTTTCTGCCTGAAATGATGAATATTTACTTCTACTCTTGCGCTCACACCCGAAAGTGTTACACAGCGGGTCTGTTGAAAAGACTGCGTGTGAATTGGCCCAAGTTCCCATGGTGGAGCGCGCTACGAAACTTTGTTTACGTCGTCCATCCACCCTCCCAAGAGCTTGCGTCGCATCTTGGCTGTCCAAGCCGCAGGCTATAACTAATCTCCTATGTACAGTGCCTAGAATCACTTGCAGCTGCTCTGTCGATCTCCCGACTCATTCATGGTTGTATTTCTCTCCAATGATGGGCATTTCCCGTTGAATGAGAGTAGTGCACCTGGATGCTGAAGATGCGCACGATCGAAACGCCATTCGTCGGCTGAGGCTTGAGCCATCGAGTTTTGAAAAGATCGCAGAGGGCCTCGTACTCCCAGTCGTCATCGTCAAGAATTCGCAGGGTACTGCTGCTGCTCCCCACAGAAATCTCGCTCTGGCCCCAATCCTGTATTCCAGCGATGTGGATAGCACGGTTATCGTTTATTCTTGATAGGCACGAACTCGACGCAACACACAGGTGCCATGTTCTGACCATGGGGTGCAACGCTTTACCGCCCATTCTCGGCCAAGCTTGAGTTCTCCATCACGTGAACGAGAGGCGATTACACGATCTTTCAATTTCCCACACAAGCAGTAAACTCACCAAGCGGTTTGCGGGGGCATTGACTTGGGATTTCATGCTGGCCTTCACATAGATGCATGCGACAAGGCCGGCTGAGCCATACTGTACGCCGAGATTCTTCCCGATCAGGAAACCTCACACCGGATTGTCTGCCTGCACCGTGGCCGTGCGCACCTTCAAATCCCCCTCATGCCGTAGACATATGCTTAGCTCGAGCCGTGCGCTGGTCATCATGCAAATGTGCTCAGTTCCCGTCTTGGCCTGGTAGATCGCGATGCAGCGCCTCAGCAGCTCCTGCGCTTCCTTCAGTTTCCCCCTCTGCCGGAGAAAAACTCCGAACACATGCAGCGTGTAGGCGACGGCTTGATGATCCTTGCCCATGTTGCCTTCCTGATTCGCAAGACAACGCCTCATCATGTCCTCTGCTTCGTCCATCTCTCCCGTTTGTATGAGCGATGCAGCCAGTGGATACAACACCGAGGGTGTTACGATATGTTCTAGGCCTAGGTGCACGTCATGGATGCACAAAGAGCGTCTCAAAACATCCACCGCTTCCGCCGATCGCAGAGCTTCTCCGAGGCACATCCCAAGCTGGACCAGCACGACGCCCACCAAAATATCCTCTAAACCCAGCTTGGCCTCTCGAATAGACAGGCAGCGCCGGAGCAATTCCTCTGCCTTCTTCGACTCCCCCGTCTGTCGAAGGTAGGAAGCTAAGTCGAACAGCGTGTTGGCTACGTCGACTCCGTCATAGTTCCCGTTCTTCTCATGGATTGCAAGACCACGCCTCAGCATGTCCTCAACCTCCTCAAATTTCTCTGCCTGCATAAGGCATGTACCCAGGGCGTGTAGCGCATACGGGTACGTCTGTCGAAGGGTGTTATTCAAGACGTCCCCCGTGCTTACTACAGCGGCATTCTCTGGGCGAAGCTCGGTCTCATGGATTACCAAACCGCGCCTCAGAGTACGCTCGGCCTCCTCGAGTTTCCCTGCTTGCAAAAGGCAGGAACCCAGGGCGTGCACCGTGGTCCCTATCAAGTGTTGGAGATTCCGGTACAGTAGCTTGTGTTCATGTTGTGCGCTGGCGTCATTGGCCAACTGGTTGACCTCGTCGAGAATGGCCACACTGCGGCTCAGGATATCCTCGGCCTCCTCCAGTTTCCCAGCTCGCGAAAGGAAAGAACCTAGTAGGTTTAAGGCGGGGATCAGCCTGTCAGATTTTCGTCCCAGATTGACCTCCTGGATCTTCACACAGCGCCTTGCCACGTTTTCTCCCTCCTCCACCTGGTGCGGGTGCGACAGGCACCCGCCTATCAGGTATAGTGTTTCTGCTACCGGCGTGCTCTCCTGGCCAAGGTCGGTCTCCTGGATTGCAAGGCAGCGTTTGGCGATACGTTCCATCTCCTCCGGCCGCCCTGCCTCAGTCAGGCAGAAACTCAGTTCAGACAGTGGCTTGAACATCTCCACACACGAATCTCGACCTCGCTTCGCCTCCAAGATTCCAAGAGACATTTTCAAGACGCGTTCTGCTTCGGCCAGTTTTCCATCCTGTCGAAGACGTTGCCCTTGCTCTGCCAGTGCTTTTGCTCCCTCCATTGTTGTGGGATACCTCTTCCTGGCGGTTTTGTGGAAGAAATAAACACCAATGAAATACGAATGGGCAGCACTTACCATTATATAGCCGAAGCAGGGCATGTGATGACGGAGCTAACTTCCGAACTGCGATTTCGAGACCAGGAGCAACGATATTTTCCACGTTCCACCATAACCAATTTCAGCGACAAACTCCTAATCGGTACCTGGAACAACATAGCAAGCATCGGCTAGAAACACGTTCTAATAAATATAAGCTGGTTGCTCGTGCACTTGTTTCTATTGCACAACATTCATGTTTTTCCGAAGGTGGTCGGCCGAGGAAATAATTGACAGAACCTTGTTGGCTCAAGTCGGTGGCGTAATGGGACAGGTGCAACCACCCGCATGCTTAGGCGCAAAAATCAAGATCGAGTCCATGCCAAGGCCAATGTAATAGAGCTATCATAGCAAAAGGTCCAACAGCACCATTTCCCGTCTACACGTTTGCAGTGAGTACACCGATCCGCTGCAGACCACATGCAGAAACATTTCTTGGCATGCACCCACCACGCTGTTGACATTGTTGCTTGTTCGTAGCGCTCGCGCCTCTGCTTGGCGTTTCGGATTCACAGTCAGTTCAATGAGAATTTGTCGCGAGAAAACTACCGAGCTTCCCAGTACCTGGCTCTTTTGGATTAATCTCGCTGGCAAGCTGTTCTCCGCCCAGGGCTGGCTCCAAGAATACTCCTGTAGAGAAAGTCTTCAAATTATTTTCAAAGGGGCCGAAAAAAGATCGAGATAAAGATGATGAGCTGGTGGATGCTGCGTTTACAGGCGAAGTTCGTACACCTAGGCAGTCATACGACCCTCAATGTGGGTGGTACGTTTCTCATTGCAGTGCAGTACAGTAGGGCTTCAACAGAGCTACAAAACAGCTTCAATATGATGCACTCCGGGTCTCACTACGTCGACTTTGATCCAGGGTATACTCTAGTACAGCACACACTACAGTACACTTGTTGTCTGAGCGTATCGAGTTGAGAGCGCTCATGGGTTTCCGTGTTGAAGCGGTCTCAAATAACGACGCAGACAAAGGCAATGCAGCAGGCAGGCATGTAATGATGTTATTTGTCGTGGACCCTGTTTGATGCCCAACTTCTGATGCCCAACGCTTAAAAGCATTTTCTCCCGCTTGTTGTGGCCTTCTGTGCAGAGGAGGGGGGACCACACATATGATGAGGTATCTGATGGGTTTGAGGCAATCGCATGCTGAGGTTGCTGTCTGGCGAAAGGGTTTGGGGAGCTCAAGCACCACATCATAAGCCCATGCTGCCTTTCTATAATTTAGTTGATGGACGAGTTCAAACTTAAGGTGTTGGGATGCCGCCAGCTTGTAGCTGTCTCATTTTTGTGCTGCTGGAATCTCGACCTGGTAAGCTGGGATCAGACATGCGCCGCGTGGGAAGAACGTCAACAATCAAGAAATCAGGGGTAATCGTATGAGAGGACACACGGAAAAACTCAGTGGCGGGAAGGCAGGACTCGCTGAATGGCTGTCTTACCTTCTAACGGTGGTACTGTAGTCTATGTCGACAAGTGTGGAGAGGTCGAGAGGTACTGGCGGACTCTGTGAAGATGCGGAATCGTCGTACTCGGTTGTCTAAAAAACCCCGCAGATACTTTTGCCGCGGACGAACCTGCTGTCTACACAGCTGGTGGGGAGGAAACACCTCACTGCGATCTTCTGTCTCTGTCTTCTCAATACTCGTGAGCACGCACCCAACGCCTGTGGCTTTAGGCAAGGGGGAGTCAGGAAGTGAGAGAGCCAGCGATCTGGCGATCTGGCGAGCCGCGAGCCGGCGAGACTGCCATCATCCATCATATGTCATACCGAAATCAAATTCAATGCGGGGTTTCTGATTGGGTCCCCTTGTACGGTCCCGTCGGCATATATATTTTTTTCATGCGCGCATACAACACCCAGGGGTCAGTGTGGAGCTGGTGTGGAGCAGCTGGTGTGGAGACGAGATAGGCTGTGGCCCTCGGGATGGGTGCCAGGGCGACTACGCCCGTGTTGTGCGGCCTCCCAGGGTGTACACAGCCTTGCTACGATGATGGGCTCGTCGTCCACGACTACTGTGGGCGTACTCATGCTAGACAAGCAATGTCTGGCGGGCTCGTCGCTGGTGCTCGTCGCTCCCTAACCGGCAGCACCTGTAAGGTGAGGCTTTTGCAGGAAATGCTACGGGTTAGGGACCATGGGATAGGGTTATTGTGCCCGTGGGCATGGCGTTAGGGCCCATGACCTTTAAGTTGAGGATAGGGCAGTAGGGCATGCCCAAAATGCTCACCATGGTGATTCTGGCGTCAAACGACCAGGACACGTCCGTGTGTCCGTGGATGCGTCCGTGGACGCGTCCACCGACGTGTAGACAGAATCCCAAGGCCACGGACGCATAGATAGAAGCCTACGGGCGCGTCCACGGATGCCGTCCGTGAATGTGTTCACGGATGCGGACATGTTCGTCCCCGGACGCTTCCATAGACATGTCGACATCCACGGACGCAGACACGTCGGACGGCGTCCGTGGACTTCCGAGGGTGGCCACGGGCGTCCGTGGGCGTCCACGGACACGGACACGTCCGTGGATGCTCGTTCATGGATGCCCGTGGAGACGTTCGTGGCCGCCTGTGAACGTGTCCACGAACGTCCATGGACACGTCCATCAAATGGTCAAATAATGTACACTTCGGCGCTCTCCAAAACGGCACCACGAGTCAAACGAGAGCTTGCAGGATAGCTACGGGGTAAAGGTCATTACACATCATGCAGACTGCTATCGATACTCTGGTAAGCTGAGTAGGAGCAAAACACCTTTTTCCAAACTCATGGCAGTCCGCAAGCGTGCCTCCTATTACGCCATACCTCTTGGTCACGTGTTGAAAAATCACTAGAGCGGGTTCTGAAGTCGGCAACCATTTTGGGAAGAAATTGAACGGAACTTTCCCCAATCAAAGTCCTTCCGAACAAAAACGGTGAATAGAGATGAAAGCCTTGCAGTTTTCACAATGGTACGAGCAGAACGAAGCAAGACATCGGCGGCGGAAGGTTTTTCTGCAGTTCTTAATGGTTCCGGCAACCCCTGAACACCGGCCACCCGTCACTGGCAGAGTCGCAACGCACGACGATGCTGCGGTGCTGCTTAAAGGCCCCCACGACAGCGATGTGTCTACGAAACAGAGTGTGTATCGTAGTCCCAACATGTTCCAACAAGCTTCCCTCTACGGTTCAACATCAACGCCACCTCCGCGACCTCGCTTCATCACATGAAATGTGTCGTACATGTGTGAGCGTATTCTTGTCATACTTGGTCTTTCCACTCGCCAGCGGCCTGGGTGCTCGCAACCACCTTTCTTCGACTCAGTCACGAACCGGATGCACGACTTCTGCTCGAAGCACCACGCTAATGAGGCCATGGCACGCCCGGGTGGTGGCATGGGGGCTTCAGAGTGCAAGCTGAAGGGCTGTTCTAAGAACGTTTACCGCGATCCTGTCACCGGTCTCGTGAGTGTTAATGGTCTGTGTTTTCTTTGAAGAGCTAACTCTTATCACGTTGGTACTACTGATGTTGCTTCGTTAGGCGTCTTTGGCGTTAGTGGCGACCGGATCGAATACTACCTGCCAGTGCGCGCGGCATTCCGGTAATGGTGATAAGCCGTTCGACTGTGGGTATATCTCGAATGGATATGCAGTATTTCTGTGTTTGTAATTGTTTTGAAACTAATAAGTCGATGGGTCGTCCCCTCAACGGCACCCTCCGTTCTTTTTGTTTGAGGGATATTCTTACCTGAGGCACCGCAGAATTCATCTCCTCCACAGACAAGAGTCTGGGATAGAATAGCAATGGTCCACATGGCGTCAGTGGAAGCTACCTGTGTGTGTTATTTGTACCCCCCGCCATACGTACGTGATCAAGTGAAGACTCAACACCTGTCTTCTTCCTATAGTCTCAACCCACTCCCCCTCTTAACCTCATGCGACCCACCCGCTATTTTGGCGACAACCCAAGGAGTCTGACTACTGCTCCAGAGGCCACCAGGCACACGCTATCGCCCTGGGACAGGGAATGAGGACCGTAACATCCCATGTGCAGCAGGTCTTCCGCGGGGGAACCACCGGCGCTACTGACTTCATGCTGAGTGTCCTTTCGAAATCCCATCACCAGTACTCGTCACTGTGCCATCAATTCATCAGCAAGTGGGTCAAGGGTGGTGTGCCTCATGTGCGGAGGATATTGGAGGTGAAGGTGAGTGAAAAAAAACACGAACGAACACACTCAATGGTTCCTCGCAATCTTTTATTCACTCTCTGTTTGGTGCACAACGTTAGTTGGTTGGTTGGTTTTGAAGTTGGATGTTGATCCGACAGTATCGAAGTAAGGCAAGGGAGGCTGAGTCCAGCTTTGTGAAGGATCAAGTCGCTGGGTTTCATCGAAACCTCGGTGCCGCTTGCTCTTGATGAAGCCTTCCAAGACTTCTAAGGGGAGCCTCCCGGCGACTCTGTGAGTGAGGTGGTGGCTAGCTCTGGCGATCAAGTGCCACCTTCCCTGACTAACGTGGTCAATTGAGGTAACCCGTGCAGCAGGACACCAACATCACCACGGCACTGATCAAGCCGGGCGGTCTCTGCTGAATAGATGTTTATATCTTATCCCGATATTGACACACCACTCATCTTGGTATGCCCCACACACGTGAGGAAGGAACGAATAGGCAGAGACGGCATGAACCCACTCGCGTTGGGTGTTAAAACCAATGTTCTCTTGGAGAGTAAATGACTCCATGGCCCCACTAGCGTGGAACAACAGGAACCCGTACAACATTGATCCTGGTTGCACTTTTCCCTCTGGTATTGTCTCTCCTGGTGGTATCTACTTACACCACTGCGCCGTCGCATCCACATCGCAGGTACCAGCCGACATCTATGGGAAATATGCCAACTACAAGAAGGCCAAGGGCAACATTCGGCGTCGATTTCACGGCACCTCGTGCTCTGCAGGGTGTAATTTTTTCGTCGACCTGAAAGTGAGCAAACACGACAACACACGCAATTTCTCCGTTCCAAACGTATCAGCCTTCCGACACAGCGGCTGCGTCTAAGACAACTCGCCGTTTTGAACGATACTCGGCTAAATTCAAACACTTCGGTCTATGAGCGATACGTCCGTATTCCAATGCCGAAGTGTCTTGGTGCCCTCGAGCATAGTGTCGTGGTTCCTCATCCTACTGGAATCGAATGTATTTTAGCATTGCGGGGTTGTCGCGGGCGTGTAAGGACATTGTACAACGCATATGCAGGGGTTGTGTGGCCTTTTAACAAGCCTTGATTCTATGCGCTCACGTCTAGCACGTTTGTTTGTCGGGGCACATTTCTCAGGGTAACCCTTGTAGCAGCAGGGGGTGCAACGTGTGCAACATCTGCACCAACGGCTTCATGCTGCAAGGAAACGTCGGCGGAACGGCGAAAAGGACAAGCATCGGTCTGCGCTACGGGGAGGGCCTGTATTTCAGCAGCGTGTCTGGCAAGTCTAACGACTACGCCCAGGGGTCCGAGAAAGTGAGATAGGTTTTATTGCTTAGGGCTACATCGTGTTCATCGACAAAGTTTCAACGCCACTCTGGTTTCCAAAATGAATGTTGGATCGGCCAATCAACTGAATTGCATGACGCTTGAAAAACACCATAAACGCCCGCTTGTGCCCTACCTATCCCGAACGATGGCTCGCCGACTCACACATCAAACTGATTACCTCGCGCCCGCGCCCTCGTCGCCGTGTCGTTGCCCCACACCACTCATCGTTGGGCGACTGGCAGGTTGGCAGCGACGGTAAAAAAGTGAGGTGCATGTTCATCGCCAACGTCACGGCGGGCAACGCCTACCTGACCCAGCAAGTTTCCCTCGGGCAAAACATGTGCCCTCCCGCCGGACATGACTCGGTTGTGGGAGAGGTGAGAGTCAAGCACGTTCTGTCTATTGGCGGTCCCGCTGTCTCTGGGGAAACATGAAATCCCGTACATAGAGTCGCCGTACATCAAGGCTTCACATCCCCTTCGACTGTGGTATTATCTCGAATGAGTACAACAGTCTGTCTTTGATTGAATCATGACTTCTTTTTTTTTCCGAAACAAAAGGCACCAATTGAAACGTACCGAACCGACCGTGCCGCCACAGGAGCCACACACGACACCCACACACACACTGTGGGTGTGGTGCCTGTGGTTCGGGCCACCCTGTCTCCTCCCGCAAGTCGATAAACACTCACAGAAAAGTAAACCTATTAGTGTTGCTAATGTTTTAGAGATGTACATCGAGAGAAGTACATGAACAATTATAGAAACATGCACATAATAAGGAGAGGTGAAAGCACCAAGACATTGCAACCCTACGCTGGAGTTGACCTCCTCCCCCTCCTCAGACTCAGAACAATTCACAAGCCGCACGTTGAACAGTGCCGCGCCGAGAGAGAAACAGTTCGACCCGGCTCGAAGAACAGAAACAAGGCGAGCGGGGGGGGGGGGGGAGCATACCATTTGAAACTTGATACATGCTGCGACGCTAGACTTACATGCATGCTGCCCGTTTGTGGAGAAATCTCTCTGCCTTGATGAAAACGTCACAACACAGGGCATTCGGCCGCTGAAGCCACACACTTATTTTACCTCCTGTGTGCCATCCCCCCCATGGAACGCACAATGCCCAAACCCCGACGCCCCCCCTCCCCGCTAGACAGATCGACCGAAAATGAACCGCAATCTTTGGGTCTCCTTGGTGCCATCAAAAGTGAACAGAGACGTATGGTGTAGTTTGATCGCCACAACATGTGCATGCAACAAAGCACAAGCACCCTGCTGCTTAGCCAATCGCCGCCTGTTGTGCCCCGACTCTGCCCATTCGGCAGGGAAAGCTCTTGGTCTCTTTAGCCTTCCCGAAGAAGACGCAACGCCAACAAAAAACAAACAGCCTTCTTATCTATTTTCCGTTGCAAAAGAAACGTCTCTTCAAAATGATTATTGTAACCTGTTTGCAAAACACAACAATGGCAGCAGCGGACTCGAACCTCAAGTTTTTTATTCTGGCGCCCGCCAGCCATCACCGATGGACAGGGCATCACGTCTGTTTTCTCCCGCCACCCTACGCACTTACATGTACAGAACCACGATCGAAATGTACAAAAAAAAGGGGGGATAATTTACGGAAGAAAAGAAAAAAAATGCCGACAAGTAGGTGCAACAGATGATGGAGAATCCGAGCGTCGACAGACAGATATGTAATACAAAAGCCTATCGGTAGAGAAGAAAAGAGTACTACACGTGCACGCACCCGCTTTGGTCTTGCTGGTTGGCAACTTTGTCGCCGAAAATCCTTGTCCGATCGGCGACGTCACCCAGGGAAGCTGACCAAGGACCCCTACTCACACTACTGTAGCCTTTTCCGGGGGGAGGGGCAAACCAATAAGCGCCGGGGGGATGCTTGTCCGCAAGGACGGGTGGAGGTGCGTAGTAGTACTGGATGTGCGGGCCTCGCCAATGTGTAGTGCCACCGCCACCGCCGGCGTGCTGGAAAAACTAAAGGGCGGCTTTGACCAAACGGTGCCAACGGAAACATGTTCACACACATACAACATGCACGATGGCATGACAGGGCGCACGGGCGACTGACGCGATCGCTACGTACGATGAAGAGACAATCCCAACACCAAACAACGTAAAGAAAAAGGGCAAGATGCGGTGGGTGTACCATATTTGAGAGCCACAAGTTTACGTATCGTTCTCCACCCCTCTATTCCTGTCTTCTACCCCCCTCCCCGCGCTTTTCCGTGTGCTAGAGGGGGCACGTGAGTACAAGAGTACAAGAGTACAAGAATGTGTTGGGTAGACGGCGGGGGTTACGGTGCATGAAATCCGCTCTACCTCCCGTTTGGCGGCTTGTCTTGGCTGCTGCAGCTGCTGTTGCCGCCGCCGCAGCCATCGGCCACCGCAGCAGCCGCCTACGTTGCGCTTCCACCGCTGCCACTGTTGCCACCGGTTTCGGTGCCACCGCCGCCGCCGCCGCCGCTTACTTTTCGTCTCGGGCGCCGCCGCTGTAGCTCCACAGGCCCACCGCCGCGTCCCACGAGAAGGACGCGATGAGCGGGAGGTGAGGGTGCCACGAGACGTCGCGAGTGTTGCCGGTGTGCCAAGAAAGGCTATCCACCTGAAGGAGGAGGAGGGGGTAGGGAAAGAAGAGGGCGGGCGCGGGAGAGAGGGAGGGAGGATGTAACGTGAAAAACAGTTCTCGCCGCGGTTGCGCGCCACGTGCGTGTTTCTTCTCTCTCTCTCGCTCTGTCTCTCTCTGTCTGTCTGTCTCTCTCTCTGTCTCTCTCTCTCTCTCTCTCTCTCTCTCTCTCTCTCTCTCTCTCTCGGCCTTTCATTCTTTTCAAGACGGTCTATTGATTGTGTGAGATATGATATGACAGACCTAGACAGAGACAGATAGTACTTCGAATCCCAGGTAACACCGTCCTTTTCGGGTCTAGTGTCCTTCTCATGCATTCCCAAAAAGCCGCTCGACATGAACACGGCGGCGAATCTCCACAATAGCAGACCATTGCAATCACGTTTCTCTTTTCTCTTTTCCTACCATGTTGCCGGTGAGAATATCCCAGATGCAAACACTGCCGTCCGCGCTCCCGGACATGACGAACCTGAAGAAATACACGAGGGAAGAAAGCCGTCGTTTCTCTTGGCGTTGCCATTTGATGGGAAGGTTGGGGTGGAGCACACACCGCACACTCTACTGAAAAAAACAGAACCACTCCGAAGAGACAGGGGGGGGATAAGGACAAGGGCTAAATTATTAGCTGTCGAATCAACGACCACGTGCGTTGCTACTTCGTGGTTACCGTTGTCGCTGCTGCTGTCTTGCTACTGCTACTGCTGCTGCTGCTGCTGCTGCTATACATTGCACAGCACAAACCAGGGTCGGGATTTCCACCCGGTATCTGAGCTCGGCTCACGCAACAGTGGTCGAGTGGTTCAGTTGGAAACCTAAAACACCGTGAAAAACATCAAGTACAAAACAACGACAAGGCGCGTGAGTATAGTCGTGAGTAAACGTCATGGTAAAAAAACAAGACAAGAGATACATGGTAGAACAAGGGAAATAGAACAAACGAAGATGGTTGCACCACTTCACCACTCGCGGCTTACCGCTGGCCCGTGGTGTGCGTGGGCGAGAAGTAGCAGCGGATGAGCGTCTGCAGCACCTTGTGGCCGTGGAATGTCTTGACGGACTCGTCTGAGGCCCTCTTGCTCTTGATCGGCCTCAGCGCGGGGAGGGACATGGTCATATGTCGGTAGTCCCTGCCGAGATCACGGACCGGCCCATCGAGCAGACAAAAGGGGTCGGCAAATGTAGTGAGAGGGAGGGGCTGCTGATACTGGGACGGGCGAAACAGTGGGGGCGATGAGAACCTTGGAGGGCGGGTGAAAATCACACATAAGGGTGTACGCCACGAGACCCGCCGCCTCTTCTTTGTAAGGCTGCAGACGGTGCCGGGAAAGCTCGTAGCTAGGGAACACACCGGCAGCAAACAGAACATTTGCACCACGAACATGACCACGAACCACACGCAAACACCCACACGAGCAAAGCCCAGCAGGGGACAACAGTATCTGCCCAAGCACGCCCAAGCGCACACACGTGGCACACACGAAACGCTAGTCAGAAAGCGAGCACGTACCAGCAGTGCACGCAGACAACCACACAGACACACGCAAGTAATTCCCACAAAATAACTCGCGCACCAGTGCGGGATATGGGCGGCCTTCTTCATCTTATCGTCCTTAGGGTCGAGCATGCGACGCATGTCCCACAGCTTCATGGTCTGGTCCTTGCTGTTGGAGATGAAGTGGCGCCCGTCGCCCTTGGCGGTGATGCACGTGATCCCCGCCTGGTGTCCGCAGAGACCCCCCACCTGCGGCACAACGCGCACGGAAGCGATTGAGTGGAACTTGCTGTCGCTATCGCTGAAATGTTGTTGTCGTTGCTGGTGTTATAGTTGCTGTGCTGTTGGTGGTTGCTGGTTGTTAATTGTTGTTTCTGCTGGACGTTGTTGTTGTCGTTGTTTCTGCTGTTGTTGCTGGTGTTATCGTTGCTGTGCTGTTGATGTTGCCTTCTTCACAGGTTCACGACCTCGGCTTCCGCGCTCTCTGGAGCCAAGAAACCGGTCCATGTGTAAGATGCTGAAGCGGATACAACATAACAGCTACATTCAAATGGACGGAGCAAATAAATAGACAAAAGGATCGTCATTGACAAGAGAAGAAAGGACTGACGGGCGACCGACAGAGAAGGTGTGTTCACGCGGGAGACGTCCATGTCTGGGTCACGCGGCTTTCACGACAAGTTTCAAATGGGGATGGTTCAGCTTGCGTTCATACCAATTGTTCGGGCAACAACGCGAGAACGCACTGATTAAAGCGACGGCGTGGTGTACGGCGGAGGTTCACCCATTCTTACATTCAGCGGTACAACATCTCGTCATTTTCATGGTGTACATTATCGTCTGTTTTGTTCTCGTGTCGTTTCTATTGTTCTGTTCGCGCCCTTCGGGCGCCGCGGTAGTGGGTGTTGAAATTCCTGCGCGAAAAAAAAACTCCTTTGCTTGTATAGCCAAGCCACAGCGGGGATCGGGCCAACTGGACGGGTAGCTCCACGTACGTAATTGTTGGTAAATTTCGACATGGCAAATGGCAACCGGTCGGTGAACCCCCATGCCCCCCCCTCCGCCGTGCCGCAACTGCGTGACGGTTTCATCTCACCGCCGCATCGGGAGAGCGCAAGTCCCAGATCTTGATCACGCAGTCGTCGCCGCCGGATAGTACAACCTGATGTAGCAACAACAGCAGTTGCATGCATATGCAAGAAAATTGAGGTGTGAAAGAAGATACATGGGTGTGAAGACAAAACAACGATAACAACAACAACAACAACAACAACAACAACAGCAGCAGCAGCAAACACAACCGACAACGGAACACACTTTTTCGGTGAAACATTGAAGCGCGTCAGGCAAAGCCCACGATGATTCATCATCTACAGGAACATGCAGGGGGACTTGGAGCAGGTGAAAAGTTGTAAGAGTCACGGCACCGCTCTGGAGATGAAAGCGAAGGGGCATGAATCCACACAACCCACACACGCTTAAAAACGAATGGATGCCGACCGACAAATACTGCTGGATCAGATTTTGTCGTGCACCTCTGCGGTCACATTGCATCAGAAGGCAGCACAAGCCACCTATCAAAACCATAACCCATCTGCCTGCGTGTGTGTGCGCGTCTTTACTATGAGCATTGACCGCTCCAGCTGGCTGACCAATGAAAAACCGCCAGTCTCAGTGCCGCTGGAAACCGACCATGCTTCTGCTTCTGATGATCTGGGACCCCTGTGAGGGTGAAGCTAAGCTGCTCTTCAGATGTAAGATAGAAACGGCATGGCGAACGGAGAAAAGTGCACGAGTGGCCGTCTTAGTCGGCTGTCTGACGGTAGGGCCCTCTCTCTCTCACCTGGGATCCCGAATCTGCAAAGGCCACAGCGTTCACGTCGTCGTCGTGGGCGCTGATGCGCGCCACTCGCTCTTTCCTGAGGGTCATCGAAATATCGACAGAGCGTTTCGTTGTGCGTCGCTGCTATTGATATATTGATTGTTGACGGAAGTGATAACATATGTGTACGAGATGGTGATGCACTACGGTGTTGGTCGTTCATTATGCCTTTAGCCTTTTAGGGGAAAGTTTTGATTTAAGCGACACCCGCGCAGAAGCCAGCCTCTAGGACAACACGATCTCCAACCGCCGTCTCCAAAATTAAAGGCTATTGTTTTTCGTTGGCGATATGTGTTTTCTTGGCTGAAACCGCCAAGAAAAAAGCAACAACAAAAACGCTACACCGTTTCGTTTTTCGCTGCAGCGACGACGTCATCCATCCATCGCCTCCATCGCCGCGGTGTTTCCTTGCAGGCAACACCGCAAGCTTTTCCTACCCCCGCCCCCGGCGGGACGAGGAAGGCGGTCGCACGACTCTTACGTGACTTGGGGGGACGAGGCGACGCTCGCTCGTCACAAATATCACACGCCATACAGCAGCAGCCGCATGGGGTTAACAGGTCTTATCACGAGCTTTGAGCATTGCTTGTTTAACCGTAAATAGATTCGTGTGTGGCCAAAAAGTATGTCACGCGCTTAGCCCTTGTTTAACCGTAAATAGATCCGTGTGTGGTCAAAAAGTATGTCAGGCTTGACCCTTGTATTGTTGTTGCCGCAACTGCATCGAGTGGACGCTGATGCCACAAGATACACCGTGAGAGAAGCGACTTAACCATCAACACAACGGCCGTGAGCAGCCAGCCCTCTACGGAAACTGGCACAAAACACGACGAGAAGCATTTTTCAGTCGCACACCTGACCGGGGCGTTGCAACTACTGACGCATGTATTCCCAGCTTGAACCAAAGCCCCCATGTGTCGCGACTTGCTTAGAGCCAAATGCCACAACACCCACCTCTCGAGGCTGTAGAGGTAGACGTGGTTGTCGGATCCGCCGCCCAGGATGTGTGTGTTGCTGGGGGAAAACTGGATGGCGAAAAGGCAGAACGAGTCACCGGGCTTCGGCTGGAAGTCGAGAGCTTGGTGCAGCTCGTAGTCGCTGATTGTTCATGGGAGGGGGGGGGGCATGGGGGACGGGAGGCGGGCGGACGGGGTTGAATGGTAGAATGTGAAAAGTCGGAGCACCAACAACATCATGCACCGCAAC